TAATGGGCCTACTATTTCAAATTTCGCCTTACCGTTTTCATAACTACGTTCCAAACCATAAACATTAACACTTATATCATTTAGGTCTTCAAATTTTGAAATGTCTTTAAGCTTCATGGGAAATTCAATACCCTCAACATTCAGCACGGTCTCGAAGTGTGGATACGACGACGTTTCGCTAACATGCTCTCTCGCTGGATATAGTGCCGATGTGATGGCCCAAGCAAAGCAGTACGCATCATTATTTTGCACATTAACTACGCCCTTCTTGGTTTCAATAAACTTGGGTAGCTTTATGTGCGAGCAGCCGCCTAATGGAGAGTACTTATTTATATTTACTTCTAAAAATAGTACTTCCAGTAACGACCAGCCTGAAACAACGAATAATTTATTAGTTAACGCCCTATTATACACTATAAAAACTACAATACCTGAATCCTTATGTTGAAAGTCTACAGTTTGAGATACCGCCGCATCTTTAAAGTCCGCATATGTCGCATCCAAATCCGCCGACAAATCTAGTATTCGATTTATGCTATTAAAAGATTTGATTTCAGAAATATCTTGACTCTGCAATACATATGTAGCGAAGACCTCTACATTAACTTTAATGGCATTATGGACCCTCAGAACAACTTTTAACAATTCCAATACTCTACATTTTACCGCATCAAAAAATGTTACATAATCTATATGTTTTTTATCACTTTTGACTCTGTAACTTGCAATTCTGCACTTAAACGCACTCTGAATTAAATATATACCATCGGCATGAATTGAGCAGGCTTTTTCTTTATGGTCAAGGCTCTTCATATGCGATGACATCTGATTGGTAGGGATGTCTACATTACATGATTCACATCTCCCATTACGCGCTTTTTTTACTGGTAAAACATCAGGGCTGGAATTGGTAGATCTTTTCGTACCACGCGATGATTCACCGGTGCGATTAGATATTAGCTTACAACTTTTATTTTGATGTCGATGTAAATTATCTATCCTTGTAAATGTTAAACCACAATTACACTTATACATGTCTATTATTTTTATGATAATTTCGATATTAGATAATGGAACTTACAACGCGCTTAAAGCTCACGAGTTTTGTACTGATTTCATTTGAATATGGGTGCTACTATATATCCTCTCTAAAATCTCCACCTCTCTTATGCTCCCCTCCCCTATTCATAATATACAGGTCTGAGAGGCGCTCGCAAATTGTGTTAAGAATGGGGTACTATCCCTTCCACCGATGTTTACGTCGTGCGTGTCTGCTGGAGACTTGCGCTTCACTCTAGCTATGACGGTTGAGAGTCAAGGATGTGTTTCGGTATGCTCCGACGTATTTCCCTTATGCTACAATAGTAATCACTCATATGTACTTGAACTGAACCCATTACACTACATGATATACATAGCAATTACTATCTAAGAGGTACTTACTATGCTCGTTACACGCTACTCGATATACATAGTAAATACTTATATCTATATGCGTATGAAGTAACTACACTTATTACACTATGCAATTACACTATGCAATTACACTATGCAATTACACTATGCAATTACGCTCATTGGGAGGTACTTGCTAATTGCGCGAAGGGTGGGGGTGGGTACTTATGATAATTACTAATTACCTCTCATTACCTCCCGTCCAGAACTGGCCAATCACAACTACTAATATAGCACTGAGTGAAATTACTCAGGACTAAATAGCGCAATTTCAAAGTAACTTGAGAAAAAATAGCTCTGGTACAAAATAGCGCAGTTATGATAAAGTTGTGAACCCTGTTCTTATAAAAAAAAATTAGATTTTGATGTGGTATAGCGTATTTGCTTGTTAGCTTTGTTTGTTTTCCATATTTAACCAATCGACTGTTTTGAGTTTATATGATATCTTTTAATGTTTTCCTTTACCATGATATGATTTAAGCAGCTAGTTTGAATTTTTTGGATTTTGTTTTTAAAATTTACTGTTAAATTTAAACCAGAGAGTTAGTGAAATTAAAATTTGATAGTACAATAAAATTGATTCACAACGGGAAATTTTAATATTTTAAGATGATAAATTACGATTACTGTACATTAATTTTAATGAGCTATAAGCTCGCTGAATCAATATTGTGATGGGTTTTTTAAGCCTTTATTCAAAATCGATTATATTTTTTACGTTTTTAGCTCCATTTACTATGGTTAGTCTAGCATTATTAATTTCAATACCTAACTTTTGATTACGACTTGATCCAAATAGTATCACATTGGATTGTCTAGCATTACTTAGTTAATACTGCTCATGTTACTGATCCAATTCCTGATTTTTTCTATTTAATGTATTTTGTGATAGATCAAGACGGAAACTGAGCGTCATCGGCATATAGGTGAATCTTACAGCTTTCTAAAGAATTAATGAGATTTGAGGTGTACATGGAAAAAAATTAGAGGGCCCAAAATGGAACCTTGGGGTACGCCTGAGTGAAAATTTTAAAATAGTTTGATTTTTTATTTTTGATATTTGATTTTTTTTTTTTAATTTGGTGTCATCGGCATCGACTACCTACTAAGGCCATTAACCTCGTGTTCTGTGTAGGCTTTGTTACTGTTTCCCAGCGCAACTTAGGAACAGCACTGTTAATTAGAATCCAACAGTGAATGGTCGGGTGGGGAATCCTACCAAGACATCAGAATTAATTATAATTAATTAAATTAAATAAAAAATCCCGTTGATACTTGATTTTATTAAATTAATCAAAAATTCAAATTTTTAAAAACATCTTATAGATATTTTTTTTAGTATATAAAGATTTTTATAATTTTAAAATCAATTCATTATTAAGTTCAATAACACAATAAAATGTGTCTAAAAATTACAGAAATCTTTATGTGATATGATGATGATGAAACATCTAGCTGCCATATTTGACATTTATATAGACTGGTTAAGTTTTAGTCAAATAAAAATTTAGGTGAAATTATATAGACCCATTATTAATGGTTGATTTCGTATAATCCAAGTGTCTCACACTTACAGTTGAATTATGTACATCTCACTGCGAAACATCCTATATGTGTTTATTTCTTATTCATTCAATATACTGTATATTTTTAACGGAATTTCAGAGGTAGAAAACTCTAATGCAAACATTTTGGAAAATCCAGTAATATCAACTTATGGCTCTAAAAAACATTATGCTAACCCAATCTTGGCAGATTATGTTCTCCTTTAGTTGCTTCTCTTATAACTCACCCCAACTCATTTAAGAGTAATAAACTTGTGGATGACTCTCCTGATGAATAACTTTTAGAAACGAAAATCGAAAGCGATCTAGATACCACAATAATCTTCTTAAAGATAGAAGAATAGTGGATATTATGCAACAAATTCAAAGTGTTAATGATCATAAGCCTTTAAATTGTAATTTTTCTACAACGGTTTTCATAAAATAAAAACAAAGATCTTGCAAGCTGCTTTGTTCTTAAATGAAATATGTGTAATAATGACCAAGTATTAAAATTAATTTTAAAAAATCGATTTCAAAATCACGCAGATGTCATCAACACATCTTGATCAAAATTATATGGGACCACCCCTGAGCTACCCCCTTACTAATAAAAAAGAATTATTGAAATCTGACACCGTATTAAAGAATTATCGTTGAACATACAAACAAAAAATATTCCGACAAATTGAGAACCTCCTCCTTTTTTGAAGTCCGTTAAAAATAAATGTTTACTGAAGATCCACGACATGAATTAAATTTAAAGTTTGATTCTGCAGCTGTGCATGTCATAATAAGTACTGATGGTGGTCATTCAGAATTAGTGAAAAAATATTCAATTTTAAACATTCCGTCAATCTCTTTATCAGTATACTAAACATAATTATTTAGTATCTGACCCCATACATCAAACCGTTCAAATTGCCGTGAAAGAAGTAGACCAGGAAGAACTTCGTTTAGCCAAAGAATTATGAAATGTTGACCAAGATGGAAACGGTATGATTACCGTAATAGCTGACGGCGCTTGATCAAAATGATCTTATAAATAATATGGCGTTGTCAATAAAACCTATATATGTATATATTCTAAATAAATTTAACTTATTAAAAACATTTTTTATTTTTCATTTAAAACAAGTAACATTTTCCATTTTACATATTTACAACGAGAATTTAATTTGTCGATTGTTCTAGTTGGTAAGTAAAAGCTGTAAAACATAAAATTTGACTTTTAATAAAATTTCATTAATTTTTGAACTTGCAATTTTGTAAATCGCTTTACTTAGTAGTGTCAAAGAGTATAGTTAACACAAGAGATCGCACTCAAATGTCAATCGATCTGAAAGTCTGTCACCCTGAAAATTTAAAATATTTCACGCGGGTTAATGTATCTAATCTAATATAACCTAGCTTTCTGATCATTTCTCTCTTTGGTTCAAACATTTATTTATAATCGAATTTTGGTTTAGATCTGTATTTTTTAATACAAATTACATCACAACGGTATGTGCAGTGAAAAACTGCAAAAATACTAATCAATTTTCTAGATGTCATTTTTCTCATGTGAAAGCAACCAACGTTCTGATTGGTGATGCCAGATTTGTTAAAAATACTCCAGACCAATAAAGAGAAGGTATCGAGGTCAACAATATTTTAAAAACAAAAAAAAACAAATTTTGTGATAACCACACTAATTTTGTCTTTAAGCTTAAAACCTGAATATTTTTTTTACTTTTTGATGTCTTTTTTCTCATGTGCCAGCAACCAACGTGCTGATTGGTGACTCCAAACTTGTCAAAAATACCCCAGACTTGTCAAAAATACCCCAGACCAATAAGGAAGATGTACCGAGGTCATTGAGATTTGTGCCAGAATTTAACAGGCCTGTGGTAGTGTCCTATTCTACCAACTATGCTGAAATGTTAGTTTAACACCCTGTATAGAAAAACATGAACAGGACATATGATATTTTTTTATATAAATAAAATATTTTTTTCTTACCTCGATATCGATGCTGGTGAGCGAAGGGAACCTTTTTTTCATTAATTGAGACATTTTTTTCTGATTTTTTTCAATAAAAACACACGTTCACTTCACGAAAAAAAATTGTACAAATAATTATAAATAATAAATAAATATCAGCGTTTAATACCGCTGAATATTTTATCATAAAAATTTCCAAAAATAGGAAATCTGTAACATAATCAATAAATATTCCGTCAGAAATGTTTTTACTATGTAAAAAAACAAATAAATGTTGGTTAGTGTAGTACCTATTAACACCCATATTAAACTAAATTAGACCATTTGTTATTTACAAGAGTTAATAATGAACGAGTTTATCTGATGACATTATGTCATTTATAAAAAGAATTAGTTACGTAATTTTAATAGGTATACTCGTATGTATACTACTGACAAAGGTAGAATCCAATTTAAACGTATTTTTTTCTTTTACGTACAGGAAACAGTGTTTACACTATTTGATGTAAAATTAATCATAATAAATTTAAAGTTATAGGTAAGTTCATTTAATATCTATTAATTATTAATATTATTATTAAAAATTATAAAGGCGACAAATTGAGAAAGTAAACATTAATTAGTGTCACAAACTAAATTGATAATTTATTGAGAACAAATATTTTGGAAAACCGAAGGTAATCCAAAATTATTAGACTGCAAAAGGGCACTATTTTCAAAAAACGAGATGTTGGTACCATTGCATAGAGCGTAACGTGTTACAATATTACTGCAAAATCCAAAAAGTCTCTTAACAAGTTACGTAAATGTATTATTTTTAACATTTAAAAAACCATTGTGGCTTACGGCCCAAAAAACCTAAAAATGCGATTTTCTAGGTTTTGTCCTAGTAAAAAATTGCAAAAACTGTTATACTTTTTATGTGTACATTACGAAATTAACTTTTAAAACAAAAAAAGTTACAATGAGTGCAAATCATAAGAAAATATCAACCATATTTTTTCGTCGAATGCATGATAACCAACTCATTGCAATTAATATAAAAATAAATTAATTTAAACGATTCGTACTCTTTGATTTACCGGCAGCTATCGGTGTCTCCTTCTGCACCGCTTTGTATATCCCATCTCAGTTGCACCTATGTACACATTTTTTAATATTATTAAATAGATCTTCAGAAAATTCGACTGATCCAAATCCATTTAAATTTTGGAGGAATGTTTTCCAGCAGATCTTTTTCTACCATTTCAGCAAATTAACTCGTTGTATCGCATCCTGTTAAAGTATGAAAAGCAGGTAGGTTAGCTATTTTATGCACTACCAGGTAACATTTAAAATTTCTGATTACGGGTTTTAACAAAATTTCGCTCGAAATTCACCAAAATAATAAGCTCATCGGTAACGTTAGAGTCAATAACGCATGTAGAAAAAGCTTCAGTTTTAGCAGAGAGTTCATGAATATAATTCTAGTATAAGCTTCTTCGTGGTTTGATTCTTATTGTCCTAGGTTTTCTTCACAAACATCAATACTGGATCAACAGTCTGTAATGTTATTAAATCCACCACTCGTTACAAATTGTATCTTAGAATCATGGAATCTTTAAGCAACAAGTTCCTTGGATAAAAAGTTATTTAACTTTTTTTTTATTAAATATTCAGTGAATAAATAAATTCTATTGTTATGGAAACGGGACGTCTCAATTATAGGAGTGCAGTAATTTATTTGCAAAACGTAGTACAGTTCAAGAGGTAGACATTTCAACCTTCAATGCTTATTTGTAGTTAAAATGAAAATTTTAATAAATCTGATCTTCATAATTAAAGTTTTCGTTTAGATCTAGTCATTTTTCCACGATTTTTACTGTATTGGACCTTTTCTTTTGACAGATAAGTGAGACTTTATTTACTCATAGCCGTAAAGTATGTTTTTTAATTGATTTGGAATTTTGTATTAGTATATATAATAAAAAAATATTGCAAGCACAAGTACGTATAATCGATCTAGTGGACATAAAGCATTATTTTTGGGAAAAAATATCGTACTTAATGTATTTAATAATCATCCAAAAGACTTTGTTTCACTTTCTGTGGATGAAATAGCCATTACTAGAAAATCTAAGCCAACAGGGTATAACATTATTAAAGAAGATACAGTTATTGAAAAAGTCTGACACATGAAAAAGCCCCATGAAGAAACAAGACCTTTATTGAATCTTGGATAAGGAATGTAATAAGGCAAATGGTACATTCTTTATTCTTTTGAAATAAAATTGCAATACTAAAAAAAATTACAGTCAGAAATAGCAAATATGTCATATTTTCATCTGCAAAAAAATTATATGAATAAAATTTTCGTTACAGAAAACGTAACACAAACAGCTTTTTAACAGTAAAAGACAAAATCATTACGTGAAGACATAATTATTTAAGGAAAATAGCGGACGCAAGGAATCAGCATAAAGAGGTATTTTATTTAGATGAAACATGGGTTAATGCTAGACATACAGTAAGAAAAATTTGGTAAGATGCCTCCATAAAAACTAAAAGACAAGATCTCTTGTGGATTAAAAAATGCAACAGGATAAGAAAATCGTTTAATAATAATCCACATTGGAAGCACAGATGGATTTTGCCAGATTAATGTTCGAGTCAAAGAAAACAATAGACTACCATAAGGAAATGGATGACCCTATGTTTTAAAATTGGTTTCAGATCATTATAAAAAAATCCAGCCAACTCTGTTATTTCTTTTTTTTTTTGGATAATGCATTCTATCACATTCAATTAAAGGAGTCACTACCTACAAAAACATGAAAAAAATAAGACATTTCAAAATGGCTTCATTCTAAAAATATTATCAGTCCTCCTGAATCCTTGAAGGCAGAATTACTCGTAATAGCAATGTAACATAAAAACATATTCAAAAAATATATTGTAGACGAGATTACCCGAGAAAAAGGACTTGAAATTCGCCGCAGAGTAAAATTCCATTGAACTGATCTGGTCACAATTAAAAAGTTATGTTTCTCGAAAGAATAAAACATTTCAATTAGGTACCTGATATGCGAAATTTGTTTTTGAAGGCACCTTCAGATGTAAATGGAGAATATTGGAAAAATGCATTGATCATGTACAAAGTGGATACATAGCAATGAAAAACTTAAATAACCCTATAATAATAAACCTCAGAAAACACAATTATAATGATACCAGTAGTTATAGTGAAGATTGACTGACCTCGGCATACTCTGTCAAGGTTATACCGAAAACATAGTCATATTTGCTAGAGGCAAGTTTAGAAATATCCTGTGTGATATATTCCAACGAGGACTAGAATATACCAAAAGATGGTGTCGTGACGTGGGACTTTGTATAAACACTACAAAAACAACAGCAGCAGCCTATTCAAGGAAAAGAAAACCTTAAAATTAGACGGGATAGATGTAAAATGGAAAAATTAAGTCAAATATCTAGGCCTAACCCTGTACAACAAACTTCTTTGGAACACACGTAATAAAGAAGTAGTAAATAAGGCCACAAAAGCCCTAATGGTATGCAGAAACATTGCGGGTAAACGATGGGGATGTAAGCCGAACACACTGCGATGGAGATATACTGCAATAGTGAGACCAATCATCACTTACGGGGCTATAACCTGGAGTAACAGAACTAGTTTAGCTACAATGAAAGCTAATATCCTAGACCTGCATCACCGGTGCAATAAGAACCTGTCCTACGGCCGCAATGGAGGTGATCTTAAACATCACTCCTCTACATTTAATGATAGAGAATGTAGCAAAAAGGACACGATATAAAATGATTAGGAACGGAGTAATCAGACGAAAGTCTACTTGCTTTAGGACCAAAGATATCTGGGATACGCTACAGGATGAAATGATAAAAAAGTACAGTTTTGTGAAAAACTTCAAAACCACAGAGCTGGGCTTTAAGAAAGAATGGAGCCAACAATCCATCGCTCTTGCAACCGAAAGACATGCTATTCAGTGGTATATGGATGGTTCCAAAACAATAGAAGGAACTGGAATAGGAGTGTATGGGCCAAGAGCCAAGCACTCCGAAAGCGTTGGAAAAATACCCAAGCATCGTCCAGGCGGAAATTCACGCTATCGAAAAGTGTATCCAGTTTAACATCGAGAGAAACAAGACAAGAGATTATCATCATGTCCGATAGCCAAGCAGCCATCAAAGTGCTGAGCTCTTACGTAATCAGCTCAAAAACGGTCTGTAGATGCCTATAACAATTGAATGAGCTAGGAGAGAAACATAGAGTTACTCTAAATTGGGTCCTGGGACATAACGGGGTACAGGGTAACGAGATTGCAGATAGTCTTGCAAGGAAAGGGACTCAAACACCCTTTGCGGGACCTGAGCCGCTCTACGGTATCAGCAGTAACATAATATTAGGAGAGATTAAAAAAGAATTGGGCAGTAGAAGAACCGATAATTGTTACAATCTCTTGGGGCTGAGATAGGCTAAGATACTTCTGGATGAATATAACCAGAAAAGATCGGAAGGCTGCATTTGTCTAAGCAAGAACAGGCTACGTATTGTAACATGGATCCTTACTGGGCATCGACGACTAAAAGGACACCTTAGTAAACTGAGAGTAGTAGAAGATAGTGAGTGTAGATTCTGTGAGGAGGAAAACGAAACCTCCAATTACATTCTGTGTAGCACTCCAGAATCCAAGGACACTATACCTAGGAGCACATCAAATAGAAGAGGGAGAATAACCTAACTTAAAGCCACTCCAAATCATACACTTCCTTGAGAAGATAGGATTGGAAGGGTCGTTATAAGCCCATGCTGCATTAGCGACAGATATGGGCACAATAGATCTTTTAGATCGCAGTGTATTAATACTCCATTCTCAACATAACATAACATAACATATAGTGAAGAGAGTCAGTTTTAAAGATAGTTTTTAATCTATTTATTTTTTTTTCCTTTGATTTTAGGTACTAAAGTGTTACTTGTAATGCCAAGTTTATTCCTATTAACAATATATAATATTCGTTGTTATTTACTGGTTAAATTTAATTAGTTCAATGTTCAGGTACATTGTCAGAAACATAAGGTTTATTTTTATTTTTTGTAAATAATATAGCTTTTTTATTCAAAATTTAATCTTAGAAGTGTGCTAATACCATTTTATATCTCGAGACATTATTTTATATTATAGAAGCTTATTTTAAAAAGTACGCCTATGAAATGTGACGTTATAAAGCCACTTTTACTGCAATTTTACTGCAATCCTCTTTTAATAGGACCAGTGATACTTAAAGTGTGCTCCGCGGAACCCTGGAGCTTCGCAAAGCCTTTGTGGGGGCTCCACGAAGAAAATAATAGTTATAATAAAAAAAGCAGTATTGCCACAAAAGGGAGGGACCCTAGAAGTCACTAAGAGGAAGGAGGATATGATTTTGTTTGGAGTACTTTTTTTTAGAATAAGTCACTAAGAGGAAGGAGGATATGATTTTGCTTGGAGGACCTTTTTTTTAGAAATGTGTTTAGGGCTCCGTCAACTATTTTGCTTTTCAAAAAGGTTCCATCACCAAAAAAGTTTGAGAAACCCTGATTTAGACTATAGTAATAATCATATTAATTAATTTGGAAAGTCCTCTTTTTTGACGAGTAACATCTTTAATCGAATTTTCTGTGTATCGGTCAAAATCAAGTCAATTTGTTGGGCTCTGTATTTGTTTGGAAACAAAAATTTTGAAAATATATCAGAATATTCCTTAAATTAAAAGACAAGTGAAAAGAGTAAAAAAAATTAAAAAAGGATCAAGCAAAAATCAAGTAGGTGAAGAGCTCAATCAAAAAAAAGTCATTTAAATATTCAAGAAAAAAATGTATAGAAAAATCATAGGAAATTTAGGAAATTGTATACAATGACTTGACTGAAGTAACCACAAACATAAAACTAAGGGAGGTTTCGGCGAAATGACCGAATTCCTATGAATTCAACGGTAATTTATTCAAAATCAAACGAATTTTATATGATTTTCGGAATGAAAGAAAAATGAAACACCTTTTACAATAGGATTGTACCACAAAGACAGATATATACTTAGAACAACATGTTTAACAGAGCTTGAAAAAGTGAAGCAATGGAAAAATAACGGGTCGGTGGTGTAGCGGTCTAACGCGCTTATATCCATTTATAGGCACGTTTATGTGTCAGAGACTGCCGGGCTTCGAAAACTACACCAGACCATGTGGATTTTTAATTAAATGACATGATACGGTATAGGATTTGATGTGTGCCGTATTAATAAAAATTTAATTTCTGTTGATATGACATGCAGATTATAAAAAGCGCCATGAATTACCGTCTCGATGACGGTGGGTAAGGTTTTCCGGGTTTTCCTCACCTGTAAGTCAAATGGCACCATCAATCATCTTTAAGTCGCTCCGGAGCGCCACGGCAAATAATAATAATAATAATAATAATAATAATAATAATAATAGCCGTCCCTTTCCCCGCACAAGCTCAGCTTTTGGGGTTAAAATTCACTCGTAAGGGGGTGAATTGAGGAGAGTATTATTATTAATTATTATTATTATTACCTGTCGGTAGATCATTTTGTGACTGCCGTTTTAATTGATTTGTCTTATATTATTTACCATAAGTTGATTATTATAATACACATTAATATAATACAATAATATGGTTCATCTTTAGAAATATTTTTTCTAAGACAAAACCGAGAAAATCGCATTTTTAGTTTTTTAGACTGTGTAAACCCGAATGGTTTTTAAAATTTTTAAAATAATACATTTGAAGGGACTTAAAATAAGAAAACCACTTTTATTTTAAAAATTCTTCCTGAAAATTGTTTCGAAGTACAACTTCAAATGTGACTAATTTACATATCATTGTCTTATATACAGCATTGGCCATTGAACGTCTTCCAATATCCCTTGGCGCAAGTGCGTGTAAACACTACAGAGCGCCAGCACTAGAGCACATTTACATTTTATGATGTATTGTATTTGAGGTTTTTTGGGATGGTCATACTAAAATCTAGTAAAAATTCAGATAAGAAGGTATGAATATTTACTTTTTTGCTATGGATAATCCTGTATATAGACCTTTCCCATATAAAGTGTACTTTCATGCATTTTCAAATAAACTATACCACAATTTAATTTATATACTCGCGATTTATTATTAGGATTAACGTTGCCCTCATTGTTTTTAATATACTTCCTAAGCATATTGGTTTTGAAAGAGTTATATACCTACAATTTTGATCTTTAATCATTTGATAAACTTGTTGAATATCATGTTTAAAAAGTATTTACTCTAAAATTTTGTCTACTAACTTTGAATGAAAACTATTGTTTAGAGTTCATTCGAACTGTGTAAAATATTTGGGTTCTTTATCCCTTAAACATGCCCATTTATAAATAATATTTGATTCTCATGTTAAATTCAAATGCTAGCTCCTTTCTAGAGTTTGTTAAATCTCGTACAAAATTATATAACTAATTAAAAATCCAGAAATAACGATATAATATTAATAAATTATAAATAAAAGTTATTTTGCTAATACATCCTCAATTTTATTTTCTACAAATTTCTACAATTTTTTTGTGTAATTTTTTTTCCTTATACCTTAATTACACTTAAATTAATTTAGTAATTTTATTTATAATAAAAAATTAAATTTTAATAATACATTTAAATTAAACGAATGATCAAAAGACTAAATTAATTGTCAAATTATTTTCAATTTAATTTGCCCTGTAACACAAAAAGTAACGTATTATCAGGCAAACCCTTTTTAGAGTTCTATTAGTTGTATCATTTATCCCATGTTTTTTAATGCTCCCATACAATAATTTATGGGACAACAAGCACATATTTTTATTAGCGTATACATAAAGTAAATTCCAACCTTTATATAACTAAAATAAAACAAACAGAAGCGAGTATAAAACCGATATAAAAACTTTCAAACGGAATATTATCAATTATTTTCCACAGATTCACACTATCTCGATCGGATCGGGTAAATTTTTTTCGCACTTTTTCGACACTTTTTTTTTCGACAAAATAATTTATAATAAAAAAAAACAGTTTTTTTTTCGAGGCCGACCGCGATAGTGTTAGGCCGCAGCAAGAAGGAAAACTGGCGAAAATGCGTTTAGAATATTCGTATTTTTAGCGGTGCTTCACTCGAATCTATTTCTATATCGCGGACCGCGAGAGATGGCCTTTCAAATTCGAACATTGACAGCTTCATTTCAAATGCTGCATGGACAACTAACGAAAAAAATAAAAGAAATAAACGCTGATTAGCGATGTGGGTGAGGTAAATTGATGGTCATTTTGCCCACTGTATGGTGTACGGGCCGAATGAAACCTAATTAATTAATGAAAGCACGGCACGTACGTAATAGATGAATACCGTATACAATTAAGGTATTTTATACTGTATACAATTAAGGTATTTTATCCGACCAAAAAATATATATTTTACGTCCAAAAACTGTCAAAAAATTAACCTAATATGTTCAACATGTAAGTTACTAGTGGCAAAAATTTGTTCAAAATTTCTCTATCCGATCTCTATGTCATTATTTTTCAAACTTTTTTAACGTATTTTTCTTGTAAAATTATTTAAATTATTTCACAATATTCTCTAAAACTTTTATAAATATGCAAAATTAGCGTATTTCCTCTTATTATAACGGTTTATTGCTTTACACATCGCCTAATATTTATTCTGAACGCTAGAAAACTGTAAAAAGTCAATAAAAACGTCTTAATTAAATGATTATTTTAAAATTCTGGACCTAAAACATTAGTCTAGTTGGTAGACGAATTTAAAAATACAGTAATCAAAAAAGTAATCACTTTTAAAAATATATTTTGTTAAAATATATTTAAAAAAAATTTAATGTAATTGTTTTAATTTCATAACAAATTATTAAATTTAAACATATTGTTTTGCAAACCATCCCTTTTAAACCCATTTCTGTTTAAACTCAACCATTCAAGAAATTCATATTTATCTATCCTACAAATAACAATTTCATCTCGCTCTAGGTACAGTACAAGCTAAATATGTTTTCTGCAAGCGTGATGAATGTCACGTAGTCACATTTTTTTCCGTGCAAAGAATTCTTAAAAGTACCATCGACTAAACTCACCGAGAATATAGCAAGCCATAAGAGGAAACATACTAGATTACTAGTAGATCTATTAACAGGATATTGTAGGCTTAACAAACGTAATGTACAATATCGGTCTGACAAAAGAGACTTTATGACGATTCTGTCAGGACACGTGCTACAGCGACAGTCTATTAAGAATGAGATTCCTTAGACTTGGAGAAAAAACTAAGGGCAACTAGCTACACTGAAGAACTACTTTCTACTCTATGGACTCTACTTCAAAAGAGCAAACTAGACAAGGTGATTTAAAAAACGATTATACAATATCCACGATAGATCTGACAAGGTCGAGGATGGAAAGGCCATATGGCCCACAATCCTAATTACATCTAATCTCATCCCCGAAGATTAAAAGCCTTTTGTTGAAAAAGAAAATAGGTAATGGCAATGCCCTTTTTCGTGCGACAATATTTTCACTTGTGTGAAAAATGTCACTTTCCATACTCGTAATGTAATATTCAATTTTTCTGTAACGATACTCCAGGCTTATAACAAGAGGTACTGTAAATGGTTTTCTTGTATGAAAATGATATTGATGAAGCTTATTATGTATCGTTTAGGTATTTCTTATTCTATTTCCTGTGTTTTCTACCAGCCAATTTTATAGCATTGTACCAGTATTTTAGAATTTAACCCCATCAAGAGTTTAAGTCTGAGGGAGGTGGTGCTATTATTTAAGACTTTATTTCTGGTAATTTTTATTTAAGTTTAGAAATTCTTGGAGAGTAATTACCACCATAACCCTTGCCGTATATGCGCCCCTAATTTCATGTGTGGTTGCCTTCTGACTTCTGACAATACCATACATTTTGACCTTTATCCAGAACCTCTTTATGGCATCGCGACTGACATTTAAGATTCGGGATACTTGACAACCAACTTGAATCTTGACCGTACCAATATATCTTTAGTATTTGTTGTTGCAAAAATACTCTCCCCCCCCCTTTATTTTCCAGATATTTAAAAGTTTTCAAGAATGATAAAGGAAAAAGTATATACCAACATTTATACTCATAACTTTTCCGTAATAAATCGAACCCCTTTATATTTATAGAAAATAATTTGTCGATTTCTTGTGAAAAGTGTCTGCAACGAATATATACTTTAAAATAGCTACACACCTAATACTAAGTATACATTTTATGTCAATATTAATATGCAACAACAATATGTATTAAGTTTTATCAAAATACGTGCTTCTGGTTTAAGAATATAATTTCCTGTATGAATGACCTAACGGGTGTCTCCAAAATAGATATAATACCAATTTAACAATCAAAATTACATAAATATAAATGCGCAGAGGATATTTACATGTCTACCGTACTCGATATGGTTAACAAATCTAAATACGAAACATTTTGATTGGAAATTTACTAAAAATTTAATTTTAATATATTTAGTATATTGTTATATTCAGTTTGAATTTGAAATTTATTTGAAAGTCTATAGAAATTAGCTTAGACAAGATTGAGTTTCAGTAACTTACTTTGGAATCAATTCCGGTTATGGGTCCATTAGACAAACTTTAAATGTCTTTCCGACCCTAAAATAATTGTTTGAATATTTTAAAATAAATGAATTATATCGCAGACTTGCGCGTCGGCCCTATTTTTAAACTTGAATTACTCGAAAATGTTCTATAATTAATCTCAAAATGTCTTATAAAGAACACAAACATTATTATGGCGCTAAAAGAGTTCAACTGACATTTATTAACTCTTTTTTAACTGATAACTTACCAGACTATTGGTTATAATAATTTTTGTCTTCATTTTAAAATAATTAAACACGGAGCTATTCTTGGACCTCTATTTCGTGTTATTTAATTATCAAATTATATATTAAATTTAAATCCTTGCTATGTTAAGACAGTACTTTTATTTTTCCTAAAAACTTTTGAAAATGTTTATCAAAAGATTTTGGAGACCCACATAGTATACAATAATAACTATAAACTATCCAGAATGATTTCTTCTAAATGGGGAAATATATTTTAAATTAGTTTAAGTTTTGGATTTTGCATCAATTGGGAGATTAGGATCCTGTAGTGTGCTGTATGGTGTTCTCTTTTTACCTTTCCCATTAGCTCCCTTTAATAAAATGTTAATATGAGGTCATTATAATTTTTTTTAATATTTATATATTCACCATATATGTTTATTTAACGATTAAACAATATATATTTAAGAAAATACAATTTCTTACTTCGCTAAGTAAAGTATAGTTGCTATGCTACTAAAAATATTTTTTGTCAATTTTATTTAGTATAAATACTAAATTTTCACTTTAAAAAAATACAATAATTTTTTACCAAAAAATCAAAATAAATGTGTACATGAAGTGGTTAATAACATAAAAAAATATAATATTGAATTAACACAAAACAGGCAGTCTAGTTTAAAAAATAAATAAATTAATACAAATTATTTACTACCCATTTGTAAAATATTATTGTTAGGTATAATGCCTACTTAATAATACAATGACCACTCTTCTGACATCTAGAATTGCATTGAAGCTTTGCCTTGTAATATTGGCATATAGTGCTTCTAAATTGTACCTTAGAAGGTTAACATAGGCATTTAATCCTCGCCGTACCAAAAGTGGGTCAGCGATTATCCGAAATCTAATTTTTCAGGAATATCTCGCGGTTCCATGGCTCTTTTCCGGAGATATTCTGCGAATTCTCCTAATTTATGACAAGAATATTGCCTTTGGAATGAATTTTCGAAAAAAGCAATTTTTCCCCGGAAAACTGTCAATGAGTCAAAAACGACCCGGTTTTGGGAAACAGCGATATACGCTAAAACTCTCCAACTCGACAAGCCGTAGCAAGCTTTTTTTCCCGTTTTTTTGCACGTCTTCGAAATTTCTCGCTTTGGCTTTCAGTCTGCAATTAAACGTTATTCAGTCCAGTCTATTTTTTTGTGAATAAGCAATAGTGAAGTGCGATGTGGTCTAACAAAAAGGGTCTATCCGATAAGGACCACTACGAAATCCTGACACAGTCTTCACATGACGAGTTTGAAGAAGAAATACCTTTGGAGCAGACATTTAGTGATTTTTTAGATGTTGAGGACGTAGAAGTTGAGATAATTGAAGGCAGTATTTCATCAGAAGATGAAAAAGTTCAATTACCAGATTCGCCAGAAGACGAAACAATTAGCAATAGGCAGTCGTACGATGTAGATAATCGTACTTGGTATACTGTAGCACCTAAAACAGAAAAATCCAGATCATGCAATATCTTGCAAGAAAGCAAAGGTCTCACAGATACGAGTAAGAATGTGAATTCTATTACTGACTGTTTCAAGCTGTTCTTTTCTAAAGACTTGTTAGATATCATTATAAAATACACAAACAGAAAGGTTAATGACTTCATAAAGACATATAATGAAAGCCATGAAGACAAGATGGTTATGGATTGAGGTGGATACTACAGAAATGCTTGCTTTCTTAGGAATTTGTATCCTCACTGGTAGATTTTGTGAAGAAAGTTTACGAGATTTATGGTTGACTTCTAGCAATGCTTTCATAAGACCCATTTATCGGGCCATTATGTCCAGAAACAGGTTTTCGCTCATTCAACGTCACCTCCGTTTTAATGACCTATCTACAAGAGCTGAGAGAAAGGAGCAAGATAAGCTCCGATTCGTGAGATTACCGATATATTTACCAATAATTGCAAAAGATCTTGAAAGCCTTCAGCTTTTGGGACTATTGATGAGCAGATGGTAACTTTCCGAGGTCGTTGTTCATTCAAAATTTATATACCAAGTAAACCAGACAAATATGGTGTAAAGGTAAGGGCCCTTTGTGATGCTGAAAATTTCTATTGCTGCAATTTTGAAGTGTATTTAGGAAAATTGAATGGCATAGCAGAAAAGAATCAAGTTCCTCGAATCGTAAAAATTTTAGCAAGCCACTGGTATGGTAGTGGACGGAT